CTGGGTCGGCTACTTTTTACATTGTTTATTAACGATCTTCCCTTAATTATAAGTCATTGTCGCGTACTTCTGTGCGCAGATGATGTTAAGTTATGCCTGCAGTATAAGGACATTTCCTGCCATTTGGACTTACAATCCGGTCTAGATAATTTTCAAAACTGGTGCCGAGATAATTTACTAAATTTAAACGCATCTAAGTGCAAGCTGATGACTTTTTATCGGGTCAATCCGATATACGCACTTACACGTTGAGTGGCAGCTCTTTGGATAACTTTACGAGTTTTGTAGGTTTATTAAGGATAATTAGGTTGAATATATTATTATATTGGAAATTGTAACTTAAAGTGTTCTGAACACGTTCTGCTCTGGAGTACGACTCTATTTCGACTACTTATAACTACAGAGTCTGGTAACACTACCAGAAGGGACTTAGCGATACTTTTCCAGCGCGGATGAGTATATATTAAATTAGGGGCTGTTCACACTTGTAAACGATCTTGGCGTTCTCTTGGACCCTAAACTAAAATTTTCTAATCCCATTTCGTCCATGTTTAATAAAGCCAGAGGAGAGCTTGGATTTATTAAAAGGTGGTCAAAAGAATTTCGTTAGTCCGTCCGATTCTGGAGTATGGGTCTCCCGTCTGGAGTCCACAATACGGAATACATATTGGTCGTATTGAATCAGTACAAAAACTTTCTTCATTTTGCTTTACGGCGCCTAAACTGGGATGCAAATATTAACTTACCTTCTTATTCAAGTAGACTTCTGTTGATTAATTTACCAACCGTAGAACGATACTTGGTACTGTCTTCATTTATAACCTTATACATGGTGATATTGACTCCCCCGACTTGGTAAGTATGCTAAACTTTTCTGCGCCAAGTAGATTAACTAGAAATTATATTCCCCTAATTTTAAATCATTGTAGATCTAACTATGCCTTGCATGTGCCTTTCAGAGTATAATGTTCTGACTAAGTGGGTAAGTGGGCCGTGGGACTCCGCGCGAAAATAAGAACAATCGAAATACTTTGAAGCTGGATTTGGAGTAGTTTAAGTAGAAGTCATTACTAACGCACCAAGATTGCAGTTTATATAAATAATTTTGCAAACGGATTTGCGAGTCCCTGCTTTTTAAGTGCATACAAATTTGTCATCGTCGGAATACATCAGAATAGTTGACTCTTGTACTGCAGGAAAATCGTTTGTGAATATAACGAAAAGACTACCTTGCGAAACTCCGTAGATGGCGAGGTCATTTTTGGAGGGAGAACTGTTATATAATACATTGTAAGGGCGATTTGACAAAAAATGTTAAATTTATTTGACTAAGCGAATAGGAAAACATAACAAAACTAGCTTTTTTAATAGCAGATAGTGGTCAATTGAATCGAAAGCCTTACAAAAATCTGTAAAAACTGTATAAGACGTAAATTCAAAGAGGTTTGTTCTTGTGATCCGGCCCTTCATAAAGCAATCCTCGGATGGGGACATAAGTAACTCGCATTGATATTTTAACTGAGAGGTTAATATCAGATGTTCAGAATGTGTCACCTACTACATTTTTTATGAAGTGTTAAGATTAAGGATTCCTTCCAGATTGAATATATATAATTTTGTCTAAGTGGCAGTTGAAATATTTATGACAATGGTTCTGACAAAGAGCTCGCGAAATTTCTTTGAACACTTTAAGGAATTGGATCAGGGCCAGCTGAATAGAATGGGCTTATCAACTTTAGGTTATCACCATTAATTTCTTAATTAATGTTATGGTATGTTTGTAAGAAATCTTGGCTTGATGGAGCTGTTTCGGCGTTGCTAGAGATAGTTTTCGCCGAGCTTATGATCTTTTCTCTATGCTGGACTCGTAGTTTAATAGCCATAAGCTGTGAGAGGAGTCCCCTAAGTAGAACACCCGCATTCTCAATTAAAGGGACAGCAGAGCACTCCCGCGAATCAGCAGCTGATTGCAGCAAAACCTCAAATGTTGCTGGATCACCATCTAAAAAAGATTCGGTATCCGAACAATCCGTAGTGGTATGTATGCAACCAGGGATTTCTAAGAATTCCGATTTTTCCGCTAAGGTTTCACAATTAGTGGATTATGGGGGTTATATGCCTCATAATATAGCTACACTACCACAATTGCGTAAAGTTATCGCTCCCTGGTAACTCTTTATACATAACTTGCTCATATATTACGCCGTTGATGATTCCTGATTATTTAAATCACCTTTCCGTTATCAAGAAAATAATCAAGGGATCAGTTGTTAGTTCTAGGAGATTTTAATATACTGGAGTTACGTAGTTCACAGAGGATTGAACGAAAGTCTTACTAGGATATAGGTAGCCCATACGTGACATATCGTTATCTCAAGTAAACGATGTTAGAAATTCACCAGGTCGCCTACTTGACTTTGGTTTTGTATCAAATCCTAAAGGTGTGTTTCTGTCCAGGGTACTGCCACTCAGGCAACCTAAAGATCAATATCATTCTAAAATCGAAGTGACAGTCGACACGAGTACATTGTTTTCGCAACGCAGTCTTTCTGAGGCTAAATAATTTTATTTCTGGCTCAATTGATCTATTCTACTTTAGATCGTTTCTCACAGCCTTATTCTTACACCATATTCAAGTCTTTTGCAAATAAAGACAACCGAAAACTCTCTTCTTTTGAATCTTCTTCGTCTTCAGCATGTTTATTTGCCACGCCCCGATGGTATTCCTGGGTGAGTCCTTAAGTATTGCTCTCAGGATCTGTGAAAACCACTTCACAGCTCTTTAGATAGATTAACTCTGGTAAACGATCTTGACGTCCTTGTGGACCCTAAATTAAAGTTTCCATGCTTAATAAAGCCTTGTTTTTATTAAAAGGTGGTCAAATGAATTCGATGATTTACTTTATTTATTTCGCTAGTCCGTCTGATTCTGGAGTGTGGGTCCCCTGGCGCTGTAATGGTCTGATCGGAACCAATTGCTTACCTTGCGTTGCGTTCTTGTTGCAAATACGTGTCGAATTATTACACCTCACTTGCTATAAATCCAATTAAAAGTTATAAAGAAAAAAATTTCAACGCTCTTTTCAAAATGAATGTGTTTCTCTCCTTGCTTGACATTTATTAAATCGCGGCTTTACAGTTCATGGTCCACGACTTTTGGAAAAAGTCGCTTTTGGGACAGTGGGCTATAATTTTCGCCTGCTTGTAATCTTGTTAAAAATACGCGTCGAATAACACTTGCCTTGAATCCAACACTCTTCTCAAAAGTTATTCAAAAATGAAGTTTAAAAAGCTTTTATCAAAAAGAAAAACATTTTTTGCCTTTCTAATTGTCACGTTTGTTCGTCGTTTTTTTTTGGCAAAGTCCGTAATTTAATTATTGGCTGGATATACTTTTTCATAGTAAAATAATTTTGTAATTATAACCAAAAACAAATAAACAATCTTCAACTATTGTTGTATTTACCAGTCTACATATCAAAAAACCGAAGGTTTTTAAACGGACAAAACACTGAAAACATTCACACACTAATAGAAGCTTTAATGACAGAACTCAACCTATGTTAAAACCAATGAAGTTTGGCAACTTACAATTGCAAAAAAAAAGCTTCTCTGATCGTAAGATTGAGGGGTTTCTGACGCTCTGCTTCTCTCCCCGTAGATAGCTAATGAGTCTGAGGTGTCGTGCACACGAAACTAGCTAGTCCTATCATAGTCGGACTCACTCACTCCCCAGGGAGTGTAAGTGTGATGAAAGTTAAGTGGAATAAATCGCTGAGTTATAGAAGAAATTAAAATATAATATAACCAACGTATGACCTCGAGTAATTCAATAACACTACAATTTGAGGTTTCCCTGCTTTTCGCGTTTGGAAGTTATTGAACGTCCATTTTAGATCTGGAATGGGCAGAAAACTATACGAAACCGACTTAATGATACAAATTTCTTATTAAAGGTACTTAAAAAATAAAGGGAAAGGGCAGTACACATAGTGACGATGCGCACAAAGAGAGTGTCTTAGAGAGTGATGTCCTTTATAAGCACAAATTGAAAATCTGCTTTGAAGGTCCGATCGGAACGAGAAAACATCAATCATATTATTTTTAATACGCGTCAAATTACGCCATACAAAACAAAATCTTAAAGCTCTTTTCAAAATAAAAAAGTCTTGGATACCTATAGCAGAGATGTACCAAATCGCTGCTTAAGGATCCTAAAATTATTTTAATTTTGTTAAATCGCTCCATATAAAAAGCTTACGCTTACAACGTTTTAAAAAATCTGCTACAAAAACGCCTTCAGTTTCTTAACGCCCGAAGATAAGTTGGTAATACTACACATCATTTATTTTTTGCGTATGATATGGTTTTCACAAATCGAAATGTCGATTTATTTAAAAAAAAAGTGCAAAGTTTGAAAACAATTGAACTCTAAATACGTTTTTACTCCAAGGTAAAATTTAATATATATTTTAAATAAGTTATGTTTTTACATTTTCGATTTAAATAGGTCTTGTCTTCTTTTGAAGATCTTTTAGAGAAAAGTAAAGTTTTATTGAGCAATAAGCCTTAGACATGCAAAAGCCTTATAGATGAGAAATTACGCGATGATTTTGAGTAAGAACGGTAAAAGTTTGGTGATACCAGATCGGCCCACTGACTGGACCGACGTTTCAAAATGACTATTGGGCAAACGATTTCTGCATTGGCGTAATATATTAACTTTACGACACATCATCATATAATCTAGAATGTTAAATTCAACTAGATATTAAACCTTTTATTTTTGATAAAGTTCTTATTTTTGGAGAAAGAAACAAAAAACCAAAAAAAATGGTTTTTTATTATTTTATTTATGCTAATTTATGAATTCTGCAAAAATATATAATACATTTTGGTAATGTATATCACTATTCTTGCTCTCGTTACTCGTATATAACACCAAAAGGCTACGAATCTATCTTTGAAAATTAAAATAAGAAGTTTTTTCTTTGTTTCAGGGAGGTGACAACCAATTTGAGAATCCATTGCCTGGAACTATCGTTGACCAACATATAACCAGATTGAAAATGTACGATTTTTTTTTGGTTTCACAATTGGTACGACAGGGCACCGTAACTCCTTCTCATTTTGTTGTTTTAAGAGATGACGCCCAACATGGACCGGATATCATTCAAAAGTTAACTTATAAACTTTGTTTTTTATATTACAACTGGGCTGGTACTGTACGAATTCCAGCTTGTTGTATGGTAAGTAATTTTTTAATACATCTATTAAGGGGTTATATACCTTTTTTTGTCGAAAAAAAAATAAGAAAGTTTTGATTTTTTTATGTATGTAACTATTGTCTTTATTAAATGAATGATTATATTTTCTGAATGTTTAGATTGTTGACAATGTTTATGCAAAATATTTTGAAAAAATATTTAATAGTTTTTAAGGTGTGGCTGTTTTCCTTAAACGCCTTTTTTTTAAGAGCCTTGCGGTGATAATTCCCCAGGACGAACGGGTCAACTGAAGCCGAAAAAATAAAAATATTTCATTAGTTTAAAGTAGTATCCTGTACTTGAACGAACGTTTTAAAATTTTTTTTTTGTGCATACGGGAACGTTTTATGCAAAAAATTTCGTTTTTGAACGCTAAAATTCTTACAAAACTATCTATTTCGGCGAAATACAAATTTTTACATGAAAAAACGATAGTTCAAGTACAAATAAAATTCATTACGAACATTTAAAAAAAAATGAAGAAAATCGGTTCAGTAGTTTTTCGCCAATCCATATCAAAGTCATTTTTCAAAAAACTCCATTTCGAGATATTCGCGTTGAAAGTTTCAAGTTTGGGTTTGGGCGGGGACGAGGCGCGCGGCTAGGAGCGCTGTACCTTTTTTTGTACCTCTCAAATCTCTATGAAAATTTGGGGAAAGTTTCTAAAGAAGTTGTTCTTTAAGATAAAGCAAAATAAAAATTTTCGATTTTTTAAAAATGAAAAAGGTATATACCCCCTTAAGTAAAAATGCGCAAATGTATTTTTACTTAACTCCTTTGTGGTAACATTGTCTTAAAAGGACGATAAATACCATATTGTATAAGGGGTCTCAGGTTTTTACACACTTTTTCATTTTGCGTTTTAAACAAAACGATGATTTAAATTAAATGATTGGCCTTGATTCAGAACAAAGTATTTACATAACTATTTGATAAAGTAAAAGAAAAAGAGGTAGGCTTAAAAGTTTAGGTTTGTACGGTTTTAAAAACTGCTGAGTGATCCTTTTTTTGCTCGTAACATATTAAAATCGTGTGAAATAGGGATGGCCTATTCTGGTAAAATATAGGTATCACTCAGATTTTAGCCAGCAGTTTAGTTCCGATTAAGAAACACCTTGTTATACCCTTGCAGAGGTTATTATAATTTCAGTCAAAAGTTTGCAACGCAGTGAAGGAAACATTTCCGACCCTATAAAGTAAATACATACAATTTTGATCAGCATCACCAGGAGAGTCGATCCAGCCATGTCCGTTTTTAGTAATATAGGCATAGAAATGCTTTTGGCTTTTTATAAGATATTATGATAACAAGATTTGTTTGCAGTAATTGTAAAGGTTAAGGGTTAATTTTGTTATAAGTGCAGTTATTCAAAAATAAATAAAATAAAAGTCTTTAATAACTGTTATTATTTGGGGAATAATATAAAAGTCCTAAAACAACTGTTAGCATTTAATATAAAAGTCGATGGCCACAAAATTATTGCTTTAAGAATAGTTCAATTTAACTGCAATTAAACACACTACAATTTACTCAAGTGATCGAACCCTCGCTAATATATGCAATGTAATCAATCTTTTTTCGTTCGTACCTTTGCCACCCTGGATCCATACATTAAATTGTATAAGTTTATCTAAAATGTAATATTCTTAGAAGCGACGATATTACAATGATTATCTGTACATGTTTGAAAAATTAAGTTATGTCGATTTATCGATATATTTGTCAATATTTTAATTTTGTTCATCGTTTGGCGAAGAAATTTTTATGTAATGGTTGCAATAGGTAATGTAAATTAGCCACCAAATTAGCCCCAAATATTGTGTTTGCTAATTGGTAAAGTACAAATTGAGACCGCGGTTTCATTAGGGTTTTAATAAAGCACTTAATACTTAATGTTCTATTATTTTAATAAAGGTTATTCAGAAATTATATAACCTTAATGAAATAAATCAAATGAATTTTATAAGAGCATTTGTTCAAATTGCTGGCCCAATAGCCAGAGATTTTCAGTGGAAAATTGAAATGCTGCGAAATTTAACCTTGCAGTGGTCAAAACACCTACCATCGGCGTAGGCATTAGCTAGGGAAACTGAAGCCAGCATAGAAAGAACACCAATTCACGGCAAAGTTTACAATGGAGCAGAAAACCCAGAGTACTGACTTTCGCAAGGGCCAGAACCATAATCCCGATAAACAAGGGAACGAAAAAAATCCGCATTATTTTAAAAAGCAAGATAGGAACCAACAAAATTATTCTTGGCGTAAACCAGAGAACAGGGCCGACCGTTACTACCCACGTCGGGCAGAAGAGCCTATGGACTGGAATCCATTGTCATCCAAGTCCAAACAGCAATCACATATTAGACAAAACCAGAATGCAACACAACCTCAAAATTCACTGGAAAAAATATCAAAAGACCTCAGATAGGGTGACAGACCAAAGTCGCCAGCAGCTGAACAACATCGAGCAAACCGCCGGTGCCAAAGACCAGAAGTATGATAACGCTGCGGTAGCTGCACTGAGCGCAATCAATGACGACAACGACTCGGTCGACTCCCATGACCTCCTCAATTTTTAAGAGAGCAGTCCCGGTTACCGTTCATCGAACGACGGTTGGCTGGGAGAACTTTAGAAATACTTATTGACACGGCGGCGGCAAAAAGTTATATAAAGCCCGTAAAGGCGCTCAGCATTTCGCGTAAATTCAATTCACGGGTCCAATGACATAGATAAAAAGAGCCTAATAAACGTTTTGAGAAAAACTACCCCATTTTTCATATTCGAATTCTTAACGACATTTGACGGGATCATAGGCTTCCAGAGTCCAGAGTTCCAGAGTCAGCAAAAAAAAGAGTTCACAGAAATGATGAAAAAAATATCTAAGGTCTTCTCCGACGCATCTCAAACCTTGCCTTACAACACAAATGTTGTGGCAACTATTCGCACTGGGGATAACAACTAGAGGTGCAGCAACATCGATGTTTTTTTTCAACCATCGATGTTTCTGTGCCGTCACTATCAAGAGAAAAGGGCAAAGGAAAGGTACGTAAAACGGCAGATTTTTTTTATTTTTCTATTATATTATTAAAGTTATTCATTTGCATTATGCAGTAATAGAATTCGATTGGTGGTGCAGGTGACGGCGTTAAGATGGACAAATTCTTGATGCGATGTTTCATCGATGTTTTGGGTGAAAAACATCGAAAACATCGATGTCTCCATACATCGATGTTTCTGCACCTCTAATAACAAACAAGTGTAATCTAAGATCCAAGGGGGGTTGCGAAGTTTGTCAATTAAGAAATAAAAGACAAAATGAAGGCTAAAATTATTATCCCGTCGAAATCACCGTCCGTACAAAAATCCAACTTGGGTAAAAAAGGATTAGATGAAATAGATGGTAGGAAAAACCGTTTGGTAATCGACTTGACCGAAAAAAACCCCATGCCAATACAAAATAATTTAAAACCCTGGATTTAATATCCGGATATCACCAAATAGTCCTCGCGAAGCAAAATCGTGAAAAGACCTCGTGATTAGACCAGGCACCAATGACCGTCTCACTCACTCACCCACTCTTTAAAGAAAGTCTCCAATACCTCGACTCTAAACGGGGATGCAACCGATCCTGAGAAGCAGCTATCAGATAATACCAATTTATAGATGACTACGGCACAAAAGTCACTCCTGGCAAAGATAAATATGTCGCCGACGCCCTTTCGTGACAGAACTTCAATGATAGTGAACAATCTAGTACTTACACGATAGAAACAACGGAGAAATCATTGAGAATTGTTTCAGAAACTAAATGGTACTAGAAGAGGCAAAGTATTCCCTAAAACGATAATTTCACGAGAAAACCCTCCCTTTTAGAAACTTTAAAATCAATCGTTAACACAAAAGTTGTAAACGCTATTCATTACAACTTGCCAACGTTGGCCAGCATTCAACATGCGTTAGTATCACATTTTCCAGCGACCAAATATTGATACTGCAAGAAAATATCAAATAAGTCCGTCGTGACTACTGTACGGTGTTGCCCCTGTGCAACCCGATGGTGAAAGCAACCTGCCCTTGTGCAGGTCCAAAATGCGATGGTGTGTGTGTGTGTTGATGTTTTTTTTTTTTTTTTTTTTATTCATAAATTACATATATAGACAAAATAAATAAATATACATATGATATCCAGACTTGCGGGACTGCCGTGAAGCATTGCTTCGCAAGGCTGGCTGGCCTGTTTAGGACCTCTCGTTCCTTATGCGTTCCAGCCGCCTCAGTTCCGTCGTGACTTCCGCAGCCAGACTGCATACAGCTGTCCAGTTATCCTGACTCTCCAGCATACTAGGAACAAGTCCCTCCACTGTGATCGGGGTCCCCAGGATTTGTTCAGCTCTTCGGCGCTCTTCTCCGAACCTGACACATGTGGTTAGTGCGTGTTCGGCATTTTCCACTGTTCCGCAGGTATCGCAGATTTGGCTTGTCTCGTGTCCGAAGCGCTGTAAATACTCCTTAAAGCATCCATGTCCGCTCAGCACCTGTGTCAGATGGAACGTTAGTTCGCCGTGTGGTCTGTTTACCCAAGCCGCTATATTGGGGATGAGTCGGTGCGTCCACCGGCCGGTTTCTGCCCTATCCCATCTTTGCTGCCAGTTTTCAAGGGACTTTGTTCTTGACCTTAGTTTTGCCAAGCGGTGGTCCGCCTGTGTGTCAGCTAATTTTCTCGCTTCAAAGTTCTCCTTGGCCTCAACAACTGCGAGCTCGACTGGTGTTATACCACTGATGACCAGAATGGCCTCTGTAGCGACAGTGCGGAAGGCGGAGGCTACCCTGTGTGTGTGTTGATGTGTGTCTGCCCGTGTGCAGACTAGAGTCCAAATAAGTGCAATGAATGTTTGTCTGTGTCTTTCAGAGATCTGTATTGAACTGACTTCGCTGCTGAGTACAAAGTTTCATATAAGTGACGAGCGTGCAAGCTCGTTT